TGCTGCCGGAGCTGGCTGCCCCGGCTCGAGGTGTCGGTGTGTCACGGGTGGGCGGCACCGGGGCCACGCTCACTGGTGGAATTTCTTGCTCGGGCTGTTGGCGTGGCCCAGCAGCAGCTGGCACGGCGTGAACTGGCTGCCGTAGACGGCCTCGTACTTCCGCAGCTTGTCCACCAGCTGCTTGGCTCCGTAGGAGTCTGCGTACCTGAAGGGACCTGCCGGGGACACGGGGACACGTCGGTGTCAAGGAAGTGAGGGGCACCGAGGTGCCTGGCAGGGCGAGAGCGCTGGAGTCGGCCACTCTGTCCTTCTCCACGGAGACCCCCGGCCTCTCGGCGCTGAGCAGAGGCAGAGCCGAGCGCTGGGGCACAGCTAAGCGGGACTTCTCCCTCAGCCTGAGCCTTCCTCAAGGAGGGAAGGTGCTGGGTGCTCAGCAGAAGCACCACCTCATGCCCAAGAGCCCCTGGGGTCCTTCAAGCTGTGACCCAAACCTCATGCTTCATCCACTGCCCAGGCTGTGGCCACAGCCAGGCTGCAGATGGCTCCAGGAGAACCTCGCCCATGCTCCTGCCTGGACCCAGCAAGCACCATGGCTGAGGTTATCAGCTCAGCTCGAGCAGAGCCGCGTGCGGCCCTGAGGACCACAGCCAGGCCCCTTCTCAATTCTGTGTGCAGCACAAGACCAGGTTTCCAGAAGTGCTGCGAGATGCCTGCCCGCCCAGGCAAGCGGCAGCGGCAAGAGGCGAGACACCAGAGCCTCATTTTTCACCGAGTGCCATGCGGCTGCGCAAAAGCCAGCCAGGGATTTCTTACAAATGTTGAGCCCTTGCAAGTCTCCCACCCCACCTCCACCCCCACGACTATCAGGCATGGCAAAAGCTCCTCCACCGAGGTTCTCGCGGGAAGAGCCCATGAGGCTGGGGCCAGCATGGCTCTGCCTTCTTGTCCAAACCTGAAGGCAAGGCAAACTGCCTGGTTAGAGCCCTGTGATCCCCACCAGCCCTGTGCCACAGCTGTACCCGCACAGGACCTCCACAGGGTCCGGGCAGAAAGGTCTCGCAGCGGCTCTCAGGCTCACGGCCACCCCTCGTGGGGTGGGAACGCCGGAGCAACCTCTCTGGCTCAGGCTTTATGCGGGAGAATCCCAGAATCCCAGCA